GTATCATGATTAAAAGAACAAAAATCAGGAGTGAAGTTAGTAAGTGGCTATAATCTTGTACTGGTGGTGGTGAAACTAAGGTTGATCGCAGTCGCCGTCTTGAAAGATTAAAAAGATTACTAAAGATTACTCAAACATGTATGAATCACTCCAAATAAAACTTCAGAGGGTAAAATGAGAAGGAAACAACAATAACCTGGTTAAAAGTCGATTTTGGAAATTGAAAGTGGAGCTTGAAATGTGAAAGTCTGATTTGTGAACATGATTTCATTTTTTAGTTTTACTTTGCCTGGGATTCAGATGGGCATGAGTGACAGGTGGATTAGCCAATCAGGGACACACACGGTTCAACTGTATTAAACCATATACAGCTGCAAATGAGAAAAAAATTAAAGGAAAAAATATCATGAAAACATGGTGGATTTCTGTAGAATCAGTGAGCGAACCAATCTGTGTACAATCCATGTGTCATTTGTTCATAAAATCAAAAATAAGAAAATGAAAAAACAACTATTTTCTTCATTATTTGTCTCCAAAACCAAAATAAGAAACAGATAATGTTAGTTTTCGATTTTGTGTTTAAATGAAAAATGGAAAAAACTGATAACAGCCATTTTCCGTTTGCGTGACTTAAACTGCGATGCCGGACTTTTGCGCCACATACGGACTGAACCAGGACTAAACCAGGACTAAACCAGGACTGAACCAGGACTAAACCAGGACTGAAACAGGACTAAACCAGGACTGATCTCAAGACTGAACCAGGACTAAACCAGGACTAAACCAGGACTGAACCAGGATTAAACCAGGACTAAACCAGGACTAAACCAGGACTAAACCAGGACTGAACCAGGATTAAACCAGGACTAAACCAGGACTGATCCCAAGACTGAACCAGGACTAAACCAGGACTGATCCCAAGACTGAACCAGGAGTGTCGAGACGGGCCTGAAGGTGCACCCACGCAGACTGTCGGTGATCAGGACTAAGACCGGGACCAGACTGGGACTAAGACCGGGACTGGGGTCCTGTTTCAGTCCTGGGCCAGTCCTGAAACAAATCGTTATTTGCTTTTTCATTTTGGTTTTGGAAACAAATAATGAAGAAAGCTGTTGGTTTTTTTTAACATTAAAAAAACTAATGATACATGGATTCACTACACTCACATGCGTCACTGAAATAAATGAATCTGATTGGACAGGCATGTTTTGGCTTGAGACACAGCAGAGGGAGTGGAGACCAGAGTGACATCCCTCTGTATCACACACAGACAAATATTTGTCTGGACTTGCCAGACAGAGTTTCACACTGTCTCCAGTAAACACATGTAAAGTAAACACATGTAAAGTAAACACAGTGACACTTTACTTTAAACGTGTCTTCATTTGGCAGAGAAAAACACAGTATCATATGAGCTAACATAAACTCAAGACTCGATCAACTGGAAAAGGAATACTCAGTTATGTTGCTTAAGTAAAAGTACAAACACAGAGGCAAAAAGTACAAGTATCATATATACAAATCTGCTTGAGTGAAAGTACTGAAGTCACATTTTAAATTAAATAAATGTACTGTGTAAAAGTATTTTACACAGATTTCTGAAATGTCTTGATCTTTTTGTTTACAGTAGCATATGAATCAGCCCCTTTGTGTTTGTATACATATTTAATATGTATATTTTAGTTTGAACTCATCTCCTAGCAGGACTACACATAACCTCTCTATACAGAAAGTCCTTTTTACTTCAAACCTGCTCATAAATACAGTGGAGTAGAAAGTACAGAGATTAAATGGCCCATCTGATGCAAAATAACTCTTTTCACATTGTATCTTCTGCACATAAACAAGCACAATTTGGGTTCTTGAACATCCATTACACAATAGTTTCTGAAATCTTACTGATTTCTTGGAGACAGTCACAGACCAGGAACTATGAAAGACCGACTATTGCTCCTCCCCCCGCCCGTCCTGAGAAAGCACAGGCTCCGCCCTCCAAACGTGACGTAGGCGACGAGTGAGCCGCCCTTCCTCCGCCATCTCAGGGAGGGAGGGGGAGACAGACGTGACCCTGATAGTGGTAGAAATAAACTTTTATTCATCATGGAGATACAGCGCGTTCAGCCGCATGTGTTGGACCCAGAAACGACGAGGACTTTGAGGAGCACGAGGCTCAAGCACCACGTCCACATCAGCTGAACATTACTGATTGGTAAAGTATTAATAAACATTAGTAGATCAAGTTATTATATCAATGAGCTTATGCTGTTGTTTTTGTTTAGGTGTTCATGTGGGAATTGTCGCCTATGTGCGCTTTCTGCTACGTCAAATGCGTCATAGGTGTATCTGCCGCGTCATCGTTGTAGCAGCTTTAGTTCATTGTCATGTGGGAGGGTGGCAGAAATATGCTGTAATTTGTTTAAAAAAAAAAAAAAACGCCAAATCAATATAAAAAAAAACACTTGGGCAGCAAACATAAGGCCCACACATCACTCTTAGAAGGTAGAAAGCTCTGAAAAGTTGATTTTGCATGAGATGGGCCCTTTAAAATTAGTGAAGTAAAAGTCAAACGAATCCACTGTAAAATCTACTTTAAGTACAAATACCTCAAACTGTACAGTACTTTTGCATTGATGCTTCATTACTTTCCACTTGGAGATTACCCGGAACTGCTAGAGTCAGTCAGAATTCAAGGAAAACTCGTGATTGTAATGTTTGAGTCATCAAACGTGCTCCTAAGTCAAGAACGTGTGAACTTGCCAACTGTAGAGAAGAAGTCACGGTGGCTGAGTGTTCTCCCCATTTTCTCTGGTTTTTCCCATCAACCCAAAACATGCACAATAGGTCCAGTTAAGGTAGTCCTGCCCAAGACTAGCTCAAGATCTAGAGATGGGTTCCTTTAACTGCTCTGAAGGATTTCCTTGGTTAATCTTTTTGGGTGAACACATTTGCAGTAAGAGTTCCACTACACAGAAGAGGAACCCTGACAGAAAATCAGACCGTGTTCTATCTGTGTATCTGCTTTGTCTTTGTCCAACACTAAATCTCAACTGTCCTCATGTCCACAGACTGTCTCTTCTCTGAGTCGTGGCCCACGCTGGACAGAAGAGCCACTGTGAGGGACCTGCTCAAGATCAGACGCCAGATGGTAATGACTAAAGAAATACTTCTAGCAATATTCATCTAAAACAACCTAATCAAAGAAACAAGAAGAAAACGGCAGTGCTCAGTGGGAGTTGATGACTCTGTAAACAGGGTCCATCCCTTCTTTACGACGTGCCTATATTTAGATGAGCCATTTTACTGACACTTTTTAGTATCGCTATTCAGACACGTCATAAGTGTGTTTTGGGCTGTGAGTGTCGTCTCATTGAACTCACACAATGAAGTTGATTAGTTATTTATTTAGGCGGCATGGTGTTCTCCACAGATCACTTACATGACCAAATGAATGAAGCACAAAGGTCCATGCAGCCTTTGTTTTAGAGTCGATATTTTCCTGAAGTCTGGCCTATGCTGTTTTTTAAAATGCATGACTTGTTCCCATGGTGATTAGTTAGGACATTTTCCCACTGTCTGATCTCCTCTGTGGCCCAAATATTCTCTGATCAAGAGCACAAGCATCTTATGATATATGTGAGTGGAAAGTATAATAGGCTCTCACATTAACCCCTTAACGCTGACTGTCACAAATATGAGACAAACCGTCTGGATCGAGATATAAGTCGAGACAGAGGCTGTATTTCCCTCGGTGTCACTTAGTCCTAATGCAGGACCTTCCTCGAAACCTTTGGCAAGAACTTGTTTCTAGTTGTCATACATACACAAATTTCTGTACAGAAAGAACAAAAATGTGGCTGTTTGCTGCAGGTGTTCCAAGCAGTGGGAGCAGGTAGAGGGCGCTCTTGGAAAAAGGATCAAAGCTAAAAAATTACAGACTCCAGGCACTCCAAAGAAGTAAAAATCGCACGAGGAAAAATATAGTTAAAAGGCCTTTATTTAAATGGCCAAAACCAACATGTTTCGACCAACCTGGTCTTCATCAGGGCTTAGTTTAATTTTTTTTGTTTGTTTTTGTTTTATACACAAAGATTTATGTATTTATTGTGTTATAGTCAAATTAATAATCTCAGTTTAAATTACCATCCTCTTAAAGGCAAAAACACACACAAAATATTTTTTTCTATACATTTTTATACATTCAGGTGTTAAGGGGGTTAATATTATTATTATTATCTTATTAATATTATTCAGGTCGGAAAAGCGAAATGTTTGAAAAACAGTGGAGTTCCGCTACTTAGACAATGAAAAAAAAAGTAGTGGGACTCTTGAAAAATAATGTTTATGCCACTACTCCAACAATTAGACGTCAGTGTCTAAATAGTGGCATGGAACCTCTGTAAAAGCCATCACAACAAAACACCGCATGCTGTTGCACCCGCTGATGGATAACTGCACATCACAACACCTGATCTGTCAAACCACAAAACATCACCACGTCAACAGCCAATAAAAGAGAGCATCAGGGACAGAAGAGCAAGATATAAACACGAGAAATAACAGTAACAATGAGGATGATTAGTTTAATACTTGCCATAAAGCTGGAGTGAAACTGTAACGTTCATCCATGTTCTTACATTCAAAAGCCTAGTATTTTTTCCATAAATCCATGGCACACAGTCCAAAAAACATCCCTACAAATCTAGTCTGAAGCGTTATTTAAAAATCATGTGTGTTATATTTAAATAAATCCACGCTGTGAGGCAAAGCTGCTGCAAATTTCCAATAATAAACAAAAGATTACTTTCCGTCTGGGTAAAACATTTTCTGAGCCACGTTTGAAGAAATAATAACACTCTTTTGACTGTGTCTATAATCTAAAAGCGCTCTGAACAGATGAACAGACGTACACTTTTTGTCTCATGTTTAAAAATCATTTAAGACTCAAAAATTCTGTAGTGTTGGGCGAGTTTTAAACGTCTCCTCTGTGGATTTCAGGTGGAGGATGAGATGTTCCTGAAGAGACAAGCTCTTGGACAGTACCTCAGACCAGACGTTCCTCAGCACATGGACACAGCGGTCAGCGTGGTCGCCACTGACAACTATGTAAGTGGTGGAAGAATTGATGGAAATAGTGCTGATTTATACTCAAGTAAAAGTACAGTGTGTGTATATGATATTCAAGAATTGCTGACAAGTGCAAAGTACACATGAAAATTACTGCTCATACCTAGGGTGACCAGATTTTCAAAATAAAAAACTGGAACACTCCCGGTTTGTGGCGGTTGTGAAACAAGTGTGTAATTAAGGAAAACTGTTTTGCACTTGGCCCATTCATGACTAATATGTGAGTCAGTATAGTCACATTTTCTTTGTGTTTTGGTTGTTTCTAAGCAGCTTTTCTGTATTTTACATAAACAAATATCAATGTATGTCTCTCTTTACTGTTGACAGGGATCAGATTAGTCAAAAATAGAGACACCTGGGATATGTCTTGTATAAAACTGGGACAAATAAATGGGTTTGAATAAATCTGCTGGGACAGGAGACACAGGATTATCATGTAAATCTGTAAATCTGTAAAATAATACCAAAACATACAAGAAAACTGCTGGGATTTGTTTATTACGTTTGCACTGGTAACAAACGGTCTCACTACTGACAGACAGAGTTTCTGCTGCAGTGCCCAGAGCAGTGGTGTAACAAGACTCAAATAGTTTCTGCAGTCCAGGCCCTTCCCCAAGAACAGTTTGTATTTAGGTTAGTCCATGTGGCTTTCTTAGCTTTGAAATGTAACACCTTTACATGAGTATCTGAGTACAAGTGAAGATGATCAAACTCTTAACATGTGATTGATTGATTGTTTTTATTTCAAGTTTGTGCCAAGAGAGAAACAATAATCATATATACTACATATACATTGTAAACAACAGAAAAGCACATTTCTCAAAAAGGAGTGGGAAGAAGAAAAAACTTATATTAAATCACCCATATTCATGACAGTTTCAAAATTTATGTGGTTGCTTCTTTACATTGATCACGGAACTTAACAAATATTTACATATAGCTAAAGAAATGACATATTATGCATATAAAATAAAAATTTAACCCCAAAACTTTTTTTTTTTTTTTACATTTTCATTTTATACTGTACACATATATATACACATACACATATACACATTACATACATATTTATATACACATACAGACACGCATACATGCACATACATACACACATGTGACATAACCATCAGACATGTAAATGGAAAACACAATGGTACCTAGAGCCTTCCTGTGAGAGAAAGGATTAGACGAAGAATAATATGGCCTTTAACACTTCTTTCTTGGACAACAGAAAGAAAAACACCCAATACTATAATTTCCACCACAGGACTGTCCCGAGTAAATAAAGACGTCTGGTTTCTAGTAACACCATAGAATTCTGACCGATCCCACAGCTCCATTTACAACTCCATTTTTCACATGAATGCACGTATTGATACTTGCTTGTGTCAACATGCTGGGGGTGTTCTATGTGTATTTCCATGGTGGAATGTTCAGCAGTTTCCATGGTTTTAACAAAAAGATTTTCTAAAAAGATTTAAGATCATCTGAAATCTGAGAGACGTATTTAATAGCACAACTCAGCTCACCTATTCACCAGTTAAATCAGCTCTTTCTTGTCAAACTGGGAACGTTGATGACATCAGCTGCAAAGTATCAACAGATAAACGTGATGTTCTCCTCCAGTTTTGCATTCTGTATTTGTAAGGGTCTGTTCTTTATGTTACAGAAAAAACCTTGTTGGAGTTTTCCATCTCAAGACACGACAGGGTTTGAAGTTGAAATGGGACCTCCTGACCCGTGCCCGGAGCTCATGGACCCTAACCCCCTTAACCCCTTCTATGCCTCCCCTTCCCCCTCCGCATCCCCCGCGTCCTCTGTATCCTCCGCCCCTCTACCCCCTCCGCCCCTCCACACCCTCCACCCCTCCCATGGTCCAGTCTGAGCAGACCTGCATGGTCCAGTCCATGGTCCCCCCTGAGCAGACCTGTCCTGTGGGGCCCAGCGTGGGGGTTCCTCTGGGCTCCAGCCTGTTCCACTGGCAAATCCAAGCACAGCTTAAAAAAATCAAAGGTGTCCCCACAGAAGTGCTCAGCATGAGGGACGTAGACGGAGATACGTAAGTTACATGTTCAAAACTCACATATATGTGCTGTTTTGTAGTTTTGTAGTAGTTTTGTAGAGGGTCCACCACCCTCTTGTCTCTGTGGAGATGGTATGGCTTTGGCTGGAATGTTCCACAAGTTAAACTTGTTTATCACCATGGAGACAAGCAGGAGGTCCCACTAGACCAATTTGTTTATTTATTTATTTATTTTCAATAAAATATATTTTCTAGATCAGGGCTCTCCAACCTGTAGCTCAGGAGCTGCCAGTCGCTCTCCACCCTCTTCCAAGTAGCTCACCAAGGGATTACTGAATTATACATATTGTGCTCAATAACTCAAATTTGATTGATTAAATGTCTATTTCCTTTATAAATGTATAATTTTGATGTCTAAATTTGTGCACTGATGACTGGATAATGGGTTATGTTTTATAGGCATATAACTGTACCTCATCTACGTGTTACCATGGCTCTTATATTTACAAAATTTCTGTCAACTGCTAAAATTAGTAGCTCTTTGGCATTTTCGTTTTATAAAAAGTAGCTCCCAGGATGAAAAAGGTTGGAGACCTCTGTTCTAGATATTTCTAGAGCAGCTCTCACACTCAAACTCATAACATTAGTCTAATATTGTGTTCTATCTGCATCCATACAGCCCCCTGCACATCGCAGTAGCCCAGGGAAAGAGGCCCCTCGCTTACGTTCTTGCATCTATCATGTCTGCAAGTGGCACTCTGAACACTCCAGAGCGGAATGGACAGGTGAGGGAGGTGCCTGGGGCGCGGTGCGGGAGGGGTCAGGGTGGGGCCTGTGGCGGGGTGAGGGAGGGACCAGGGTGGGTCTTGTCAAACCATAAGTCATGACCCTCTGTGTGCTGTTCTCTTCTTTGTTTCCCGTAGACTGCACTGCACATAGCCACTGCCACTGACCAGCCCCTGATAGTGTCTGACCTGCTGGAGCATGGGGCCCAGGTGCACATGAGGGACACCTGGGGGCGCTCTCCTGTGCATGTGTGTGTGGAGAAGGGCCATGCTGAAAGCCTTGTGGTAAGATTCTTAAAGGTTCTGTATGTAGCCTGTGCTCTTACTGGTTTTAAATGATGAGTTTTAAATAGAGGCTAGGAACTTGCTAAAAAGACCAAGGTTCTAAAACAAAGGACTGAATCAAAGATAAAACCATGAGATAGACCCACCTGCTGTGTCCAGACTCTGGGCAGATATTGTCTTCCTGTTGCCCCCAGCCTCTCGTCCGGTTCATCCGGCTCTTCTCCCTGCAGATGCTGGGACCATTCAGACCAGAGAGAGGCTTTTTAGATTTAAACAAGCCGGATTTAAACTTTAAGAATGTCAGTCCAAATGAGAGCATTCTGAGGTTTGGAGATGTAGACAGACTAACATCCACACAATAACAAACGTGTGAATGGAATGAAACAAACACAACTCCAGGTCTGATGATGAGTCAGTTTTGTGTTATATAGGACTTTTAAATAAAACTCTTACATACAGTTACTTTAAACATGAAATTCTGTTCAAAACTATGACCACGATAATGTGTATGACAAGTATATGATTTCACAAGGAGATAGTCCTTAACTGTGTTGTACTGTTGTATTGTCTGGTCAGTAGTGTAGGATTTCTGTCAGTGAATGTGATGCTGACCTTGGTTTAACAGAGCATACAAAAAACAGCCCAGATTCTTGGAAGGACCTATTCTGTGTATTATCCAGGCTTTTTACAACACACACAATACAGTTACTCTACTCCATGTTGTGTGAAAGAGATGTGAGAGATAGTATCTACTCTACTGAAACGTGACTGAAACCAAACTCCACGTCACGTATGGTTTTAAAAGGAAGTGAATGTGTGGTTTCTATCCCGTAAACACGACCTATCTCTGTCCCCAGATACAAACTTAACGAGTTCAAATCAAATATTATGTCATACACATTTATTCATTTACTTTTGCACGTAGACACCATATAACAATGAAAAGAGCACACTAGATAAACACTCAAAAGGGCTTCTATTAAACTCTCCACCTTATGAATGCATACAAGTGAACAGTTTAAAAAAATACATTCACACATCTTAAAGAAAGTTTAAGGTGTGTAAATGTCCATTGAACCATGGAATAAATATTTCCTTTTTTAAAATTGCATTTTTGATATGCCATTTCCATCCATTTGTTCTTAAAAAATAAAAATATAAAAAAGCAAGATGATTAGAAAGCAGAATGAATCACATGAGTCTCTCATTTGGATTATTGTATCAAAGCTCAAATCCAGTTGGTTTAAAGACACACTGTGTCTGTTCTATAGTTATAGACACCCAAGAACCATTATGTTAATATATATGGACATTTTAAATCACACAAATATTCATCTAAAATAACTTAATAAAGAAACATGTCTACTGACTTCTGAGAATGAGAAAAACTTGGATGTGTCCTCTGTCTGCAGGTTAAGGCTTTGGCAACACAAGTTCAAATGTGATTCTGATATGTTTTTTAAAACAAAAACAGTTTCTTTATATACGATACATACACTAGACCAGGGGTGTCGAACTCATTTTGGTCCTGGGGCCGTATCCAACCTACTTTGATCCAAAGGGGTCGGATCAGAAAACTCATGTCATATAAATCCCAAAAATAACATAAAGTTCAAATATTTGTGCAGAGAAACACAAATCTCTTACAGAAATCTTTTTTAATTGATGAACTCTTTCTTTTACAAAATATTATAATATTATGAACAACCTGAAACTTTAAGAAAAACACAATTTCAACACAATGTCTGAACATGAACTTGTCTGCAAATAGGAATAAGTCCATTTTTGTTGTAAAATCCTGCACTCGGCTCCACTTTTCTCATGTTGGACATTTTTCTGATGAGGGTGTCACGGTCAACAGTCAAAACGATCGTCCTTTAAGAGCGTTTGGAAAGAGACAAGTCTTCATTTGTGCTGCTCTGGTGGGAGGGGCCACGTACAGAGACGCTGCTATGATAAACACCGCAGAAAATTACCAATATTTTAATAGAAAATATAATTCAAATATTTTAGTAGAAAATCAGCCGAGGGCCAGATTAAAGGTCTTGGAGGGCCGGATCCAGCCCCTGGGCCGTATGTTTGACACTCCTGCTCTAGACTGTAATGACACGTACATTACACTGTAGTTTCACTCTTGTCCCCTGTGCGTCTTTCAGGCCATGTTTAAGACCCTCAGAGCTTTGGGCAAACACCTGGACCTCGACATGGTCAACTACAATGGTAAGAGCAGTCTGTCCTACTGCATTTCTAGAGTACAATGTAATGGAGATTGCTGCAACTGTACTACTACTACTACTACTACTTATTATTAATAATAATAATGATAATAATGACAGTGGTGAAAAGAATACTGAAAATATGTACTCAAGTAAAAGTATAGTTACAGTGCTGAAATGTACTGTTGCCAATTAAACTGCAAAACAGTGTACTTCTACTACATCTACAACAATTACTCCTACTCCTACTACTACCACTACCACTGCTAGTACTACAAAAGAAAAAATCAAACATACTATTCCTGCCTGTCTCCTGCAGGTCTGACGTCCCTCCATGTGGCGGTGCTGTCCCATAATGCCTTGCTCAGACAGGTGAGGGCCATGGGGCTGGCCATGGGGCAGGGGATCGGCTCGTGTAAGGAGAGAGACCGTCTGCTGAAGATGGGAATGAACTTGTACAAGTGTGTCAAGGCTCTGCTGCAGAACGGCGCCTCCGTTGGGGCAAAGGTCAGAATTACACCCTGCGCTAACCCTTCAGTAGAATGTGATTTTCAACATTAAATGGTCATTTTTGATACTTTTGACAACCCTGTAAGGTCTATAACTATAACAAAATAATGTAAATAATGACATATGGAGTTTATGGGGCCAAAGAATTACTCTTTGTGTCTGTCAGGATGAAAAAAGCGGTCGCACCAGTATTCACATGGCAGCTGAGGAGGCCAACACGGATCTGCTCCATCTGCTCCTGAACCAGCCCTGCACCCCCGCTGTGGTCAACCTGCGGGTATCACTACTACTATATACTGCTATATACTACTACTATTACATTGTACTACTGCTACACTCAAGTCTATATGCATGCTCTTCTAATGAGGACTTTGTCTGGTGGGTTTGTGGAGAAAAGATCTTAAGTTCTAAAGTTGTAAAACATTCGATGACACTGCAAAGCATCTTAAAGTATTTAATACAATCTTATAACTATAACATGGTAACACATTTCATTATTTAAGATTTTGTTAGTAAAATACAGTGCTGATTGAAAAAGGTTTAAGAATAGAAACATGTCCATTGGCTTCCTGTAGAACTGAGGAAATGCCTCTTCATATTTCATTTCACTGGAACAAGCATTTTTAAATGAATTAATTTATTATAACTTTTGAAGAAGACTCACTGCGCTTGTCTCTATACAATTCTATATATACAAGTATATAAACACGTCTATATACTTCTAATTGATAACACCAGTGGATCATTATGTAATAATTTGGACATTTTAATACACAATATGCATCACACTAGGGAGCAGATTGGATTTCATTTGTACCAAAATGACAACGTGGCGTTGCCGAATCTTTGTGTATCACTGATTAAGAAAAAAGAATTGGAGAACAAAATAATTATGTCACAATAGGTGTGTCCCTGGGGTGGTGGAAACAGGGGTAGATCCAAACTCGGCCTTTCACATAACACATTTTGAAGTGCAATACGTGGCTCAAGTAAATATAGTGGATAAACAATAATATTTAGAGTGACCAGATATTCAAAATAAAAAACTGGGACATCTCTGGTTTGTGGTGATTGGTAATAATAAAATTGTAAAATGAGTGCGAAATTAAGGAAAACTGTTATGCATTTGGCACTAATTTGAGTCAGTATAATCATATTTTCTTTATGTTTTGGTCATTTTTAAGCAGCTTTTATGTATCATACCTAAACAAATGACAGTTTATGTCTCGCTTTACAGTTGGCAGGATCAGATGGGTCAAAAATAGGGACACCTGTGACATTTCTTGTATAAAACTGGGACAAATCACTGGGTTTTGCATAAATCTACTGAAACAGGGGACACAGGGCTCAAAAATGGGACTGTCCCAGTGAAACAGGGACGTCTGGTCTGGTCTCCCTAATAACATTGCGACTAACATGTGCCACTGGTCAAAAACCCAAGAGCAGATTTAAACCACAAAAATGACTTGACAGTAGTTTGTATCTGTATTATTAGAACATAAATCACAAATGTATTGCAATCTCAAAGTTTGTTTTTTCCAAATCATTCAAAAGACACAATTTCTTCACAAAACTTTAACTTAGTTTGGCAATTTTGGTGTTTTGGTGTTTTTTGTAATCGTTGTGTGTTCTTCTGACAGACGTACAGCGGGAACATGGCGCTGCATATCGTGTGTGCTCTGGAGGGCTCCAAGGCTCAGCTGGACGCGGTGAAGATGCTGATGAGGAGGGGAGCAGACCCGGGGGCCCGCAACCTGGAGAACGAGGTGCCCGGCCAGCTGCTGCCAGAGGGGGGCGCCACCAACAAGGTACAGAGCACACCCCAAACCACACGCTGAGCACACCCCAGACCACACGCTGAGCACACCCCAGACCACACGCTGAGCACACCCCAGACCACACGCTGAGCACACCCCAGACCACACGCTGTCCCCGCCGTCCCACGCACACCGATGTCTCTGCCGGAGTGTGGTCACGGTGCTGAAATTTCAAGTTCGATTTCGACACCAAGGCGCACACTCGATACTCAGTAACGATTCTGATACCACGATGAGAATAAAAAAACTATTTCTTTAAACAATAGTTTATGATTTTCAACATTAAATCATAGTACTTCTATGTGTGTAATCCTCAGTGGTCCAGGTAGGTTCCATAGTGGTCCATGGGTGTTCTGATCCAGCTCCACATCATTCTAAAGCTGTTCAGGAAACGTTCACTTCTGTCCTGTGAATGTAACTTTTTTAGTATTGATACCTGCTCAAAAAGTATTCGACAGAGATGCGGACCTGCAAGTCGTGATTTGGACTCGAGTCAGACTTGAGTCACTATTTTTATTAGGACTTAAGACTTGACTTGATAAAATGGACTAAGACTTGGGACTCGACTTGGACTTGGGACTCGACTTGGACTTGAGGCCTATGACTTGAGAAAACTTGATGCTGCTCCTAAAAAAATATATTTTTAGAAAATACTTTTCTCTTTACAGTTGATAAATGCAGTGATTAAATTTACAGGAACAAACTGGAACATGTCCCTCCCACTTCTGTTTGTTACTTTGGATGGAACTGAAGTACTGTGAGATGGTGTCATCAAATGTACTACAGTAATATACAGTACAATACAGTACAATACAGTAATATACAGTACAATACAGTAACAGTAATACAGTAATATACAGTACAATACAGTAATATACAGTACAATACAGTAAAACAGAGGGGACTACACAGAACATGATCCTTCCATTTCAGTAGAGACGCATGAGAAAATAACTGTTATTAAGCACTTTTAAATCTTAATTCTTTCTGTTCTGACTGTAATGATTCACACTAAGATCTTGTCAAAACATTTAAAAAGGAAAAATGTGCATTTCTACAACTCTTATATAAATACTCATGTATAAATATACCATGATTTTTAAAAACAATTATGTTTAAAAATCATATAAATTGCAAAAATCTAAACTATATTTGTGCTTTTTTGGTTTAAAGACTTGAAATGACTTGAAGCTCAAACCAAATGACTTGGACTTGAGTTGGACTTATGGACCAGTGACTCGAGACTCGACTTGGACTTGTCTGGATTTGACTTGGGACTTGACTTGGACTTGAGGTCAAAGACTTGAGACTTACTTGAGACTTGCAAAACAACGACTTGGTGTCACCTCTGGTATTCACCCATGGACCACTACAGAACCTGCCTGGACCACTGAGGGATTACACTCATATAAGACACAAGATAATATAAAAAAACATTCTATTGTATAAAGAAAGAATGTTTTTTATTATCATCATGGTACCGTAATCGTTATTCTGTTTGGAGTTTATTCCGTAGTATCAAAATTGTGTTAGAATTGTTAGTATCGTGACAACACTAATACAAAAACACTGAAGATGCTGATGTTTTTTTGTTTGTTTGTTTGTTTTTTGCACTGTGAATCACATTTATTGCAACAGTAAAATTTTGTACTTAAGTTCCTCAAATCACAATGTGCATCTTATTTAAAGGAAAGTATTATTTATGTAGTTTTAAATTATTAACGAGAACAGAATATAACATTTAACAAAATACAATAATCAATAATCATATCTTTTTTATCAAAATATAATAAGTAACATAAAAACAAAACACAAAAACAACACCCCCAAACACACAGAACAACTGAAATTTAATTAAATAATAAATAAAACAAAAGTAATGTGGTAGTGCAACATGACCACACTGCTAGGGCCTCTTATATTGATATTTTGGCCAATTTATATCTATAATTGAAATTAATTTTCCCATTTTTAGATAAACATTTGTAGTCACTATACTTCACTAATATTATTTTCACCATCATCATTTCCTTTCATCATCTTTTACTGTTTATTACGATGCTGATGTGAAGTGGATGTTGTTCTGATGTGTCTCGTGTCTCGGCAGGTGCGGCAGGTGCTCCGCGGGAGGTATTTCCAAATGTAACTCAGACCACTGTCAGTTAGACGGTCCTGCTTTCTTCTGCTCGTGTGGCAGACGCTGTTGTTTCTGTGAAACATACGTTCATTACTGTGTAATGTAGGTTTGGTGATGGGAGGGTGGAGGTGGTTTTTAGTTTTAGTATTTAGAGTTTTAGTATTTAGAGGGGATTTAGGCTATTATATTCATGTTTGGTTTTTTTTGTTTTGTTTTTTTTGGTGGGCCATACTAGTGTTTATTTTGAGTTTGAGTTTGTTAATGTACTCGACTAAATCCACAATAGTCCAGTTTTTTTTCTATAATGTAACTGTGATAAATGTTTGATGCATGATGGGACAGATATGCAGAGGTGGGTAGTACTCACTTAAGTTTACTTGAATAACTTTTTAAAAAAAAAACTGTACTTTTCAGACTACTTTCTAGCAGCATACTGTAATTTTATGCCTACTTAAGTAAAAAAAAAAAAAATTATTGAAGTACCCACACACTTTTTCGCATTTTCAATAAAAGTTGTGGTTCCTCTTCCTTGCTGTGAGTAAATCCACAAGTGACAAAAGATTTATTGATGTTAACAATATAAACTGAAGTGAACATTTGTTTTTTCTTGCACGCTCCTTCAGATCTGATTTAGTTTGTCTCATTTTTGTGTCTATCCTTGGAAAATAGACATTCAAATAATATTAATTCATCAGATGTTACTCTTACTGAGGTAGTCATTTTTGCAAATACTTTAGTTGAGTCTTGAGTAATTTCTTGGACCACTACATTATTCTGAAGCAGCGTTACTTTTACTTGAGTACAGATTTGGGCTACTTTACCACCTCTGCAGACGTGTTCTTAAGACGCAAGTTTGTTTTTGCTCCGGTTTAGAGCTTTGGTGCAAAAGTGCCACTTGGATCTCATCTCCATCTGTCCCTTTTATTCATTTAGTTTTCGTTTTTATCATTCTTTAAACACATTATTTTTGCCAATGAAAGTGTATTTTAGTCAGTGATTAACTTTTATTTAGTTTGAGTGTTAATAAATGTGATTATATTTTAAAAAATGTGATGCATCTTGAGAATGATGTAAACAAACGAATCATTCTGAAATGTTAATATTCGTGATGATTTTGTGTTAGTACATTTATTGATCCAAAGAAAGAATGTGTTGTGTGTAACCAAAAAAAAGAAATAAAACTTCCAAACGTTGTCACAGTTTATTGACTTTGTTGGCAATACATAATAAAGCTGCAATTCTTTTTATGGAATCGATCTTAAACTAAAGATTTTCCAGCAAGCGAAATGGTAGGACTTAGGTCAAAGAAAGTTTACAGTAAACACTACAGACTGTTTTGTGATAAATAATTCTGAATAGGGGTTTGAGATTCTGACAAATAAAGATCAATACGGGTCAGGCTCATTCTGCTTTCTGATTGGATAATCGTCTTTAGAACCAAAACATCAAATTATAACGAATCATCCCGTCCAGTGTTTCTGTAATTAAGAATAAATCAGCTTTCAAATTGTTATCAGTAAAAGTTATATTTGATTTGAACATGTTTACGTTGTATATGGGACACGGTTAAGTTCATGTTTTAAAACCAGAATCTTAAATACATTTCCTTTAAAGCTACCATCTGTAATTAGTTTAGTTATTTTACTTACAGATGGTAGCTTTAAAACAGTTCATCAAAAACAGTTTTAAAGATCACGCACAAATATGACTTTATAGGCTTATTTGAACAGTTACTACAAGTTTATTCCCAGAATCATCATAAATTATAGGCTTCAATTACAAAAAGCAAATGAATAAAATAGTGAACATGTGGGGCTCAGTCTTAAAGCTGCACTGCGCAACGTTTCTGGTGGAAGGTCAGTCGCTCGCTTGTCTCAATATAATGTGCTAGACTTTTCAGATCTGTGGAGAGGCGACCCCAGTAAGAATGTATGTTTTTCAAGGTGTTTTTTCACATTAAAAACACTAGTAATTGAATAAATATTGTGGAAAAGCCCTGGGAAAGAAATAACATCTCCATGGAGACAGGCAGCTGGC